TGGTGCAGATAGAGAGTTTGATACTTGAGAGTCCACCTAAGGCAGCAAAACGGTTTGGGCTAGGACTGGCCTTGGAGCCTTTTAGCACAAACATTTCAAATTCATTCATAGAATAAATGAAGGGGGAAGGAACTGGAAATAGAAGGGTTCATATGGTGCTGAGGGGAATAGGCTGGTGGAACCAAGTGAAAGCGACCAGACTAGCTGACTCCTAGGCTGATGAGCAGAGTTGAAGGACAGTTTTCAGACAGGTTTTGTTTTGTCTTGCCAATGGAATTGCTCTATATTTGCGGAAGAATGTAAATTTCTCTGGGTCTCTTTTTTGAGATTGAACATATGGGGTATACCTTAGTCAAATCAATAAATAAGTAAATAAATAGGAGAGAACCAATATGAGTTTTGCCAAAGGCTGGGAAAGCTGTATTGTTAGTTTCATGGTTAGCACTCAAAGCAACAAGTAATCTTGTAGCACCTTAATGACAAACATATTTATCATGGCATTAACTTTAATGGACTGGAGCCTGCAACACTGGCTGCATGAATTCTGATCATCTGTTTGCAGGTGTGTATGCTGATGGGTGTAAAAGCTTTTAAAAAATAAAGAGCAGGGGTAAATGGCAATGATATGCAAACAGTAATTTCTCAAAGCATGAATTAAATACTGTAACTTTTCCTGGTAGCCATTATGGATAATGCAATCACCTTAGAACTTCGTCACAGAACTGTAGAGTTGGAAGGGGCCAGAAGGCCATCGAGTCCAACCTCCTGCCCTTCCAGGACACCATCCCATTCATGCATCTGATGAAGTGGGTTGCAGCACTTGAATGCTTATTCCATAACAGATTTGATAATTTTTGAAGATCCCACCTTTTGTCACTTTTGCTACCACAGATTAATGTGGTTGCCTTACTAGAAATCCTGCCACTAAGGCTGCAAAGGGAGTAAGCGCCACAGAAATCTGTGGGACTTAATTCTGAAAAGACATGCATAGGATGTAAGTTAGATATTGGCTGGATTTGCCTTTGAAATAAATCATAATCAACTTTTGTCTTTTCCAGACAGGAGCACTGCCTCTCACTGATATGTGATAGAGCACAGATTAACCTGCAATTCAATAAATTGGAATTAAAAAGCATGCTACTTTGCAATGAATATTATAGCTGCCAAACTGTTATATATAGGTTGGATATTATTCTGTTGCCTTTAAAATCAATACTTGGAGGGCTGTCATTCTAAAGCAAAAATGTGTAGATGTTTATTTGAATGGATACTTTGGATGAGCTAGTTGTGGTACTGGGGCATTAAAAGTTGGTAGGCCCTCTGGGATACATTGAGATGGACATTTACTGCACCATGCTGGGTGCTAATACCAGATCTGGTTTGGTAGAGTGCGTCGGTCAGCATTCACAAGAGGTGTTGTGCCATCAACGAGGAGGAAAACGACTTTGCTTAAGGTTGAAGAGCTGATGAAGAATGGAGCAGACCAGGGCCACACTGTATAAATGGCAAAATAGAGTGCCTTAGAAATGCCGAGACTGGACCAGAAAACTGATCGACTTGTCCCCATTTTGGATAGTGTTGAACACTCAAGCATTGCATTGAGCTGCCCTACCAGGCAGATTTAATCTGTCCGTTCCCCTCCCCACCACCCTGAGTTCCAGCAGGTACACACAGTTTGCCTACACCACTCAGTGGCATCCCAGTGTACCTTGCTGTGTGCATCACTCTTCAGCTAAAGTTAAACCCATGACTGCATTATCTAAGTCAAGTCTTAGCTTCAAGATAAGAAAACATCAAAGCATCATGTATGGTATGAAATTAAAGACTTGTTTCATGTTGTATTAAATTTCTTGTCATGTTACATCTCTAGAATACCTAAAAATGTTTCATTGCAGAGTTCTATGCATATTATTACTATATCTTTTAGGCCTACTTACAGGTAAATTGGTGTAGGAGTGTGGCCTTAATCAAAGGAACTATTAACTTTATCTACCAACATGACAGTCAAAAATAGGTAACCATGTGCATCTTCCTTTGTCCCATGCCAGAAGAAATAACATAAATTTATTATAATATAAATTTAATTGAAAATAAGTATGTATTCCTTTTACATTTGTTAATAAAGATTTGTTGTAGTTCCAACCTCTTCTGAGAGTGTGAAAGAAGTATTACCTAGCACAATACTCCTAATATGAGTAGTTGTTTCTCCTTCAGAAGTGAATGACCCTTAGACTGGTGGTCTTGTGATACTGTAAATTAATATGACAAGAGCTTTGAAGGTGTTTGTCTGCTTCACAATGGGTGGTAATATGCTACAGGTCATTCCAACAATCCCTGTGTTTGCTGTAGCTAGAAAAATACTGCAATGGATTGTGGAAATTGGTGCTGTTGGTATTTGTGTGGGCCCCAGTTCATATTAATATTTGCTCAAGCAATTATGAACATGTACATGACAAGGAGAGATGCAGTTGTTTATATGAAGGGTATGAATACTTTAAGGATATAAACACATAGTTAATACGAATACAGTTTTTATTTCAACATCACCAGTTGTACCACTGCCAACAGAGGTGGGAAAATATGGCAAAAATGTCAAAACAAAAGTTCACAATTAATAGAACATTATTCCACATAGGATATGGGAAATTACTTCGAAGTTTAGAAGCTGAAACACAGCTGATAGGGTTGCCATTTTATGAACACATGAAAACAATTCAGGATTAGTGAAATTACTCTTAAGTCTAATTAAAAATCTTGTTGACTGATAGATTTAACTGCTACTGAGTCATTTTCTCCATATAAGAATGATGTATGGATGCACCTAAGAACAACTAGAGTCATCCTCAGCTATTTATTTTGAGATAATTCCATATTAAAGGGGATTTTTAAACTTTATATCCCTTTTCCACTGGCAAAACATGAGCCAAGTTTTGATTTTGCTGGCCACATGGTGTGTACCATAAGACAGGAACTGGATACTGAGAGAAGGTGTATAGAAAGTTGCAGCTTGGTGACACCAAGGTGCAAGTGATATTCGGCTCTGCCTCTACTCTCCAGCAGAGTCTAAGGAAGTTGGGCAAGATGCAAAGCAAAGTATGGGGTCAGTACTGGGCAAGAGCAGGGTTAATTTGGGGGGCCCTCTGTACCTGGCTTTGATCCTGAATGCCAAAAAAAGTATCTTTGCTCTGATTAGGGTGTACCAGCTATGCCAGTTTCTGGAGAAGGGTTGTGCACTTTTTGACCATGGTGACCTGTACCTTAGTTACATCATGAAGCTGCTACAGTCTGCTCTGCCTGCCATGGAAAAGTGCATCAAAGCATCAGCTTCTCAAAATGCAGCTGCCAGATTTTACTGGACTGTATTGTTATATTGCTGGAGGAAAAATGCATTAATTCTCTCATGGATTCCACATACAATTTAAAGTGTTGAACTGTAATGACTTTTAAAAGCATTATACTAGTGGCAGTCAAGTTGATAATTTCCAGGACTTTTGGACTATAACTCCATAAACCTCCAGCCAGTGTGACCAATATTGAAGTATACGGGAGCTGTAGTCCAAAACATTAGGGGATGGCATCAAGTTGTCTGCCTCTGCCTTACATGGTTCAGGATCAGGCCAGGTTATCTCATGGATCATCTTGTCCCACAT